GTAAAAGTAAAACATCTAATTAATTAATTCGAGTAAAAAAGTAAACGTAACTCAAACCTTGGACTAGACATTCACATTTACAAAAGCGCTCACAGTCCTCGTCTATAGTGTAATAAAAAGCAAAAGTATCTCAAGAGGATCAATCTAGACGCAAAGAATTTAAGGGAGTCAAAGAGCATTTCGACATCAGAATACCTTATCAAGTATAAATCCAAAATAGGCAGAAGCGTAGTAAAATACAGATACGAGTCGCTTTTGATTGCAGAGTAAGGAAGAAAATTGAATCCTACACAGCCAAGTAGCTGAGCTGGGCTCTTTATGACACTGAAAGCATAATACTTGTTTCCTAGGAGGCAAGCTTCATTATATCCAAGACAGGCAGGGCGGTGGGGGCAATATAACCCATAAGGGTGTGTTTGGAATAACTCTTTTGGTGGGGTTTGGTGATGAGGCAATTAGGGTTAGGTAGTGATTGCCAAAAACTTTCGCAGAAATGGCGTGGGATAGGGGAGCAACCCATGCTAAATGACCCTCCATCATAGATAGCGTTTCGTGAGGTCCCCTAGCTATCTGCCTCGCCTTTGATATAATATTAATAACCCCTTTGATTTTCGTTTCATGGCACGGAGAATTTAACCAAGCTAAGAACCTTTATTTGTGGGACAAGAGGCCCATACTGTGTTTGCTTCTTGTGACTTTCTTCGCCTCTGCAAAAGATTGCCGACACGTCTGGATGGGTGCGTTTTAAGCTAATCATCTCTCTTTCTGCAGTGTCTGTGTGCAGAATAATTCTGATGGACTCTCTATTTTTAATTGAATCCTGACAGTGGTTGGTGAGAGAGAAAAAAATAGAAGAAAACGACTTCTGTTAAATAGGTTATTAGAATATAATGTGGTCTTCTTGCACATCAGATTCATTCATCCCCTGACTACATCACCCATGCTCGAGAGACTTCTTAGCTGAGAAGAAGAAAATACACAAAAATGTTGCGCTATTGTAGTACAAGCGCAATGAACGCAGAGTTTGAAGGAGCCAGCAAGCAAAACGAGAGGGAAACGGTTAAGATTTATCTTGTAACACATTCAGAAGTGTATTGAGGAAGAGAATCTATGTGACACACATATATGAATCTTTTGCATATAATTAATAAGCTAAGTAATTAATTACGTCGGGTAAGGAATTAATACTCGGTCCCCCCCCCCCCACCAAAAAAAAAAGGAAATAGATGCTTGTAGTTGTATTGTAAGGCTCTAGACATGTGATCTTGCTGCAAATCTCCTTGTTCGATCGGCAGACGCAAGATTGATCAGTAGGAAGAGAAGAGAAGAAAAGAAACTGAAGCTCTGAAAAGGATCAGCTGGCAATGTGAAGCTAATCTGGCATTACATGGCCACGGAAGAACGAGAAAAAGAGGTTACAGGCAAATAAAAACACTACTACAAAAAATACTCTAAGAGAGCACTTATTTTTGTCTTATCAAAGTGCTTCCAGAGCTTCCAAGTGCTTTGTAAACACTCCTATAGATTAAATATACAGGAACACTTTGTAAACACTTCTATAAATCAAATGTACAGGAGCACTTTCATTAAAAGTGCTCTAATAGATTTATTACTGTAAAAAAAAAAAAACATACAAGTACTTTACAAGAGTGCTTTTAAGAAGAGCACTCCCGTATGGTGCTATAGAAGAACGTACTTTTTTTGAATGCTCCTCTATCATATAATTTTGAAAGCGCTCGCTTAATGAGCGTCCTCGTATGTTTAAATTTTTGTTGAATAGTTTATGGCTGCATACCTTTGGTCATAACATAGAGCATAGGCCATAGACATTCTTAAAAGTATTATTTCCCTTTTACTTGAACAAACTTCACCATAAAAACTGAGCGAAAGGAAGGAGAAAATGGAATGAGTTTCGGATGATGAAGAACACCAAATTGGACTACATTAGAACAGGAGAGATTTCTTTTCAATTGCAAAGAATGTAGGTGGAGGGAGGGAAAGAAAAAAATTTGGATGGATTCACATATGTCAAGTGTGGCCCACCAACCTTCCCCTAGACCCTATTATTAAAAAAGTCCAAAAGTCAGAAAAAGACACTTGATAAAGTTATCAATTAAGATCTATTGATGAAATGATATATAAAAGAGTTGGCAATAGCACCATATCATTTATGTTGTCCATTTTATTTAATGGAAAATAAAGTCCTATATATTGTTGTTTAAAGCTTGTAATGAATTGTTTTCCTATGAACCATCGTTAAATTAAAGAACAAAAGAAAAAAACAGAGAGAAATAATGGAACATATAAAAAGACATACTTGATATGAAAGCTTATGTGCATTATAATTGTAGAATCGGAGCAATGATTGATAGAAAGATAATTGAGAGACCATCTTTCATTCCTCAAACTTCGTATAACATATGGGATTAATCTAATTCTGAGAGCAAACATTATATTGACATGTGTGTGATTTACTAATTTCATTTCACTTGGTTTTTGTTATTAAAAAAAATATTGTGGATATCCCTGGTGTAGCTTAGCAGATGAACGTGCTCAATAGGAATGAATTTCAACGTAAGAATGAACTGCAAAGTTTTTATTAAGACATGAAAAGTACTGTGGATATCTCCTAGTATATGTTTGGAATTTTTGTTTTTTGTTTTTATTAAAATGATGATTCATTCATAACCAGATATTACGAACTCAAAGCACCTTTATATGACTATTTCTCTCTCTTTCCTTCTCTTCTTGAATAAAGGAGGGAGGATGGTTTATATGTTTGGAATTTAGATAAAGGATTTATTGCTTGTTTAGATGTATACAGTGGTAGAGCTGGACCTTGAATTAGGAGGTGCAGACTGCAGAATAATATAATTTTAAAAATTAATAATTAAAAAAATAATATTATAATTTTTTAAAATTAATTACATTAGGCAAAAATATAGTAACATAAAAAAATTATGCATATTTTTATTTGGGCAAAATATATTGAATTTTTTTGGCCAAAATATGTTGAGAAGGTTGACATATAATTTAAATTTGAACCCCTAAATTTTTTTATTGAATATCTAGAAAGTTCAAAATATTAAAAATATTGATAAATTTTTCATACTCCATATGTAATTTTCTTCATATGAGATGATGCATTTTGTCCCCACGCCACTGGATGTATATATGCCTCCACTCTTTTACAATCTTCTCCGTTTTTAATACATGACATTTTCCAAAAAAACTATATTTGATATAATATATAAGATATTAATTAGTTTTTATATATTTTTAAACTATATTCATATTTCATTTTTTTTAATAAAATGATGCACACAATTATGTAACGAATTCCGTAAGTGTACGAGTCATAAAAATAGTACGCGATAAATCAAAATCGATCTCACAAAAAATCAAGTTAATTGGTAATTAGGCAACAAATTTTTCATTTTCATTTAAATCAAGCAAAACAAAATTTAGATTTAATATTGCAAAATAAGGAATTAAAATTATATGAATACACTAAAATTAAAATTCCAACAACTACAAATAGTCAAGGCAATCTAGGGTATTAATAAATTTACTTGAACTACAAATAGTCAAAGCATGTAATTTCTCAAATAAATTTACTTAATATTAATTTATTAATCTAGAGTATTAATAAAAATAATTATCTTTTGATTAATTACACCGCTCTCTTGAACTAATATGCTATTCCCAACACAATTACTCAAGAGACAAAAATGCATAAATCTACTTTAATGTGATTATATAGGTCCAATAGGTATATTCCTATCTTATTGACAAATTAGAATAAATTTTAATCTCACATTACTCAATCTAATGGTCTAATACAGATATTTCTTTTCCAAGGCAAAACCAAAACCCCTAAATTCACACTCAATGATGGTCAAGCATTAAGTAGACAAATAAATACAAGAATAAGTAAACAAAACTAATATTAAGCTGAAGTAAATGGTTCAAACATGTTCAAGTTAATAACCACCCTAGATTAAGAGAAAAGCAACCACACATGGCTTTCATGACAACAAAATTAATAATATATAAAGCAAAGTAAAGAGAAGGAAAATAAAAGCTTAATCAAAATAATCTTCAGCGAAATCCTTAATTTTCTATTAAACTCAAGCTTCTCCAATTTTTTTTTTACTCTTTTTTTTCTTCCTAGATGTTTTGCAATTGTTGGAGGTGAAAAATACACGAAAATGAGGTGGCCAAGCTCTAAAAGTTCTCTGACAATTAAAATTATACATTTTATTAAAATTGCGCTTCGCTACAACGAACATGGCTTGTTCAAATTTAATTCCTTGAACTCTGAAATTTTTTCTTTGAACCCTTAAATTGAGCCTCTCTACATACATAAAATTCAAAATTAATGCTAGAATTAGTCCACTAACTTTTAACATATTTTCAAGCTCATTTTCATACATATTCATTCACTTACTCATATTTTTACTAACAAAATTTAAATAAATAACTTCTAATTATATTAAAAATATCAATAAATTTAATAAAATATTAAAAGTCATCATAAAATGTCACTGGAATTTAAATGGTCACTATTAAAATATTTAATAATATAACTAAAAAAATTTACAATTTTTTAAAAAGTTAATATTTCAACAAACTTGTTTTGGTAACCGTAAAATAAGTATAAATATCCTGTATTATGAGCATGAAGGATTTTTCTTCTTTTTTTTGGCCAAAAGGAGGGTGTATTGTAAATTGGAGTATTGTTTCTTAATATTATTATTGATATTGATTTTTTTTTCACAAAAAACAAGAAATCATTATAATTGAAATAAAAAAATGTAAGGGCATCCATTCGCAGGTGTCCGTCACGTTGACCCCACTCCTAGTGACGATTTCCCAAACAGCCAGTTGATTGGCATTTTACCGTTGAAGCGGGGCTAAATTTCAAAAAGGACCCATCTTTCTCCAACGGCTACTACACGCTCAATGTCTACATTCAAGAACTTCTCCACGACAAACCATAAATCTTGCCACCAAATTTCCAGAAACTCCATGAAAGTTTTGCTACTAATTAAATTCGCCATCAGATTTCAGGATTTCAGTCATTAATGGCTTCTTCTACGCCTCCTTATCATCGTTCCGACAAGTCTCGAACCAAATCCTCCTCTCGCCTGGCCCGGATTGGTGATAAAGCAAGCCAAGAGCCTCTACGTATTTCTCTTGACCTCGTTCCATCTCCCACCAAATCCCTGTCACCTTCTGCCTTATCTCTTAAATCTCCTCCTTCACTTCCCATCAAAGAACTCCTCCTCCTTCCACCTTCGCCTCGTAGAAGGTCTAAGACCCGCCTAGCTGATCGGCTTGAAATGGCCGAAGAATATGTGGAACCTGTTGGGTTACATAGGCGCTGCAAAAGTAGAGGAGCCCAAATGGGTTTGCTGGCATCCCCGAGGAATTCCCGGAGGTCAAGGAGGCGATCGGAGCTTGAGATTCGAGAAGAGAAAGATACGGGATTGGCAGATGAGATTGGAAAGCCAAGGAAAAGAAGGCACAGTGGGCGATCTAAGGAAAAGAAGGAGAAACTGAGTTTGGTCCCCTACGTACCAGCTTCGAGTTCTTCTCCAAGTAGGTCTAAATGATTTTTTATCTATGTACTTCAGATTTCAAGTTATAAACATATCGGACATAGCAGTTAATATGCGCGTGTCTGCTTTCTCTCTTCTTTTCTGCGTGGTTTGTTGTTCAGAACCTGAGGGAGAAAATGGAGGTAATCTAGATCGTATTGGACAGCTCACAACTGATTTGATTATGTGGAAAGATGTATCAAAGTCAACCCTATGGTTCGGCTTCGGCGTCCTCTGTTTCTTATCATCTTGCTTTACTACTGGTCTGAACTTGAGGTTGGCAACCTTCCTCTCTGCTTTGTTTTGTTTTTCCCCCCTCCAGTTTCTCCACTTTCCAATCAAGTAGAGAAAAGTCTAAGACATTCTTAAACTTGTCATTCCAGCGTTTTCTCAGCCATGTCACATCTAGCAATTCTATATCTGGGTGTTTCTTTCATCTCCAACTCAATTTGTCAAAGGTGAAAGCTTCCAACTTGTATAGTTATCCGGCAAAGTCCAAACTATCCTTGTTTGAATGTGTTCTAAATCTTCAAAATTTGTATTTCAGAAACCAGATCAAAAAGAAAGGCGAAGTCAAGCTGAAAGAAGTTGACATTTTACGTCTCGCAAAATTGATTCTTCCCACTTTAAATCTTGCAATTTCAAAGATACGAGAGATTTTCTCAGGGGAACCATCCATGACCCTAAAAGTAGTCCCCAAGGCCAATCTTTCAGTTTCAAAATCATGTCTTAAACTGCTCAATATGTTAAAACAACTGGTCTTTAATGGATGCAGGTAGTTCCTTTCCTTCTTCTAGGAGCAGAGTATGGCCACCTTCTTACAATTTGGAGGCTGTGTGCCATTGGTGAGTACCTAATGAACTCCATGGCCAATTTGCTGAGAAAATGAAACAGCAATTATCATGTTTGCATTCATACATGAGTTCCGTCAACAAATATCTTAGCTTTTCTGCGATATGGATTCACAGGATTTTTTGTCAGCTTCAGTGTCCCAAAGCTTTATTCTTGCTACTCTGCTCAGATAAACCAGAGAGGTAGTCCTCCTGCTTAGAGGAAATAATATAGGTCTTTCCCAATTTTCGATACTTGACTAATAATTTACAAAAAAAAAAAAACTGCGGTGCAGCTGAATGCTTCAAATTGCGGTTGATGGACACATGGAATGGTTGTACTCACAAGAAGTTAGTGGTAGTATCGGCTGTCACGGTCTTCTGGAATCTATCATGTATGAAGACCCGAATCATCACAGGTAATTCCGAGCCAGAGATTTGACTGTAATTTATTGCACCACGGATAGTTGGGTCAGCTACACTAATCAAAGTCCAAACACCACGTCACTCGTTCATATCCGCCTGCAAAAGGTTGCATGACTTATTATCTTAAAAAATGTACAGAAATAAGCCATTTTGCTTAAATTAAAATCAATATTTAGCTGGGCCAAAAATGTTGGCTGCTAATTCAACCTTTTTTTTTTTTTTTACTCGGATTATCATAACTCTGGAAGTCGATTCTTACGATACGATACTCCTTGCTTTGCAGCATTTATAGCGCTCGTAATATTTAGATATTTTCGGCAACATGTAGTGCAAGAAGTAGAAGATGGGGAAGACGTAGGAGAGAAGGAACAACAGCAAGCCTTGGTGGTGGCAGAAACAGAGGAAAAGGAACAGCAGCGAGCGATAGTGGTGGCAGAAACAGAGGAAAAGGAACAGAAACCGCAGCAATAAGTCTTTTGCTGCCAATACTAGCACTTACCTATATGCTGACACTTAACACACCAATAAGTATGTTATAGATATACATGGAACCTTTCTTAGTAGTTCGGTGAAAGGGTTGAAAGTGTTTTGGCCTATGTTCAATATTTTTTCGCCATGTATAATTTAGAAGTATATTTTGGTTGGTTATCGATGTGCACAAATACTTCCAATATGCAAGGAAAAATCAATCCACTTGACTTCACAATTTATCAACGTTTTAAATTGACTTGACTTATTCACAGTCAGGGACATGAATGAGCATATTACCACTGAGTATAATAGTTGCAACATTTCAGAATAACAAGATTTACCTGCACTGAAATTTGTTAGGGATAGCTAAAATAACTAGCTGGAATCCTCTAACTATCGTTGATTATTATTTAATGTTCAGATGCAACACTAGAACTTGCTCTTCTCCTTTCTCCAAATATTTTGAATAGTCACTTGGTCGAGAAGGGGAAAAATTATGTTAAATGAACCTTGCTGAATGCTGGAATTTTCTGAATTCCAGTCTGCATCATTTCTTTCCTAATATCAGCAGCATGATCCCATCTTTCCTTATCTGCGTTGATGCTTGATAATAATACATATCGGCCGCAATGTTGAGTCTGCAACTCAAGCAGCCTTCTTCCTATTTCTTCTCCAAGGTCTATAGCTCCATGAATTCTACAAGCACTCAATAGAGCCAATAGAACAGATGTATCAGGCTTACAAGGCATATTATTTATGATATCAGCTGCTTCCTCCAAATGCCCTGCTTTTCCCAAAAGATCAACCACACACCCATAGTGCTCCATTAATGGTACTACTTTATAGTAATTTGACATTGACCGAAACAAGTACAATCCTTCTTTAACAAGTCTTCCACGAGAACAAGCGGTAAGAACTGCTACAAAGGTGATACTATTTGGTCGGAGCCCTTCAGCCTTCATATCTTCAAACATACTGAGAGCCTCCTTCTCTCTACCATTTGAAGCTAGTGAAGAAATCATCGCATTCCAAGTGCAGACCTCTCTAACATCCAAACAGTTAAAGACATTCAAGGCATAATTGAGGCAACCCATCTTCCCATAAACATCTACTAGTGAAGTTCCCACAAAAACACCCAAGTTGATTTCATTAACTAGGGTGTATCCATGTACCTGTTTTGCACAATTGAGTGCTGCTTTGCCATCAAGATTGGCACAGGATGAAAGGACACCCACATATGTAGCCTCGTTTGGCTTGACCAAATGATCCAAGACATCCCTGTGAGCCATCATCTTCGCAAAAAACTGAATAGCCTTGCCAAATTTTGCATTCCTTGCAAACCCGTTTATCATAGTTGACCAAGAAATAACATCCCGCTTGCACACGTGTTTGAAGAGTGAATTAGCAGACTCCATATTCCCATTTGTACAGAAAGCATGTAGCATTGCATTACATGCCACAGTGCAAATATGAGGAATTTCATTGAACACCTTACAAGCATCAGCTAAATTGTAATTACCCGCATAGAGAGCAATGAAAGTGGTTTGTACAAATGGGTCACATAGAACACCTCGCTTGATCACTTGAGCGTGGAGTACTCTTACCAAAGAAGGCGAGTGAGAAGCAGCTTTGATGAGGGGCGGAAACGTGTGGTCGTTTGGCAGGACTTGGCTAGCAAGCATGTGAGTGAAAAGAAGAAGAGCCTTGTGAGAGAGTCCAGAAATGTATTGAGCTCTGATCAAGGCGTTGTATAAGAGGGTGCTCGTCCATTTTAGATGTGACGGTGTATTGGAGTGATGGAGGAGGTGACCACTGGTGATTACAAGGGAATGGATTTGGGAGACCAATCTGGAGTGCTTGATGAAGCGTTGCAGAAGTGTAAGCAAAAACTTAGGTGAGTGAGTCATAAGAGCCACTTTGCATTCATCAAGCTTTGATTCTCTTCCAAGGGCAACGATTGTCACACTCCAAAAATATAAGTGTGACCAGCCGGAATATGAGATAACCCATATTCTTTAAGCCTTAAAACATTGAGAAACCCGGACATAATAATTACAAGAACACCAATATCATGATTCATATATATATAAGCCATAGATTCTTGTACACAGAATATGAAGCTCATTGTAGAAATTTTAGCAAGATCTCATCTATAAATTAAACTTTTCAAAAATTCTACAATAGCCTAAATAGACGAGTACAACTTGCATAACTCTACTCCATGACAGTATATAATTAAGAGAAAACATAATCTTTGGTCCCTATAGTTTCATTGGATTTTGCTTTTAGTTTTTGTAGTTTTTTTCCAGTGTTTTCAGTTCCTAACTAAAACTACTGAAAAATAAAAATTATAGGGACCTGAAAAACAAATGTCACCCAATCTTTCTGAAACTATAGAGATTGAAAACACTGAAAAAAAACTATAGAGACTAAAAGCAGAATTTGATGAAACTATAAGAACCAAAGATTATGGGGCCATTTAAAATTGTTTTTATTTCATTGTTTTGAAAATTGGTGTTTTGTAAAACATGTTCTGAGAACAAAAAAAATAATGAAAATATGTGTTTTTCTTATTCTCCTTTATTCTTCAGAACAATAATCCTAGAACACCTGAAAGTTATTTCCATTTTTTTGTTCTCCAAAACAATATTTTATTTTATTTTATTTTATTTTTTTGTTTTCTAAAACACTTTTTGAAAACACATTACCAAACAAATTTTTTTCTTTTTCTATTATGAAGAATAGAAAATTATTCCCAAAACTGGCCTTATATTTTCCCAGTAATCAATATGCAAAAGAAGACATAGATCCTACCAATAGACTATGAACTACAGCCCCACCTACATGCTAACTTAAACTATGATCCTGTCAGGCTTAGGGACATCCCTCTCATCTTACTTACTTTAATATGCTTCAAGATTCAATTCAGTGACATCAAGTTTTATAGTCTCCAAATCACCATAATATATTTAAGCATCAAGCATCATTGTTCAAGTTTCATCAAGTATCATTCTACATACTCATCTTCTCAACACATCAATTTCCTTTCTCAAACGTTCCATCAAACATTTGGTATGCATTCCAAAAGCTAACACAAGAATAGGTAAATTTAGTCCTTGAATTTCCAATCAATCGTGTCTGCAACGTCATTATAAGGTCACTAAACTTTCTTATCTTAATTCCAAGAGAGATTTAAATTGAAAATCGATTCAAACATGACTCAAATTCTTCCTCTTCCCTCAACAAGAGCTAAAAAATAACGAATAGGAATGCTTACCAAAATTAAACTCCTTGTCTTGTCAATTTCAGTTTACATTAAACTCCTACTCCACTCATAGCCACTGCCACAACAAGGAAAACGAAGCTCTATCCTTAAACCTCCCACGACACGCACAAAGCAGGTAAAAGGAGGAAGAAGGTCCACATACCCTCATCACACCATCGTCACAGAGGAAGGAGGAGGGAAGCTCGACGATTACGCGCCCACAGCAGCGGCGCACGAAAGCTCACACACACCCCGGTGACGGAAAGGAGAAGAACGACGACGCTGAGCAAGGACGGAGGAGTTCGAACACGGTGAAGAGGCTTCCAGAAATCATTACCCTTCCTTCTACATTTCTTTCTTCGTTCAATTCTGCCGAACTTGAGAAAACAGGGCGGGAAAAGGGGTTTTATTTGGGGAAGAGACAGAGCAACTAAAACTCCTAATGGCAGTGTTAAGTCCATATATGATAGAGCAGAGCACATCTCTACATTAAAATGTTAATCGGAAATAAAATTATTATTACAAGTATTTATTTATTTTTGGATACTAGTATTTATATTTATTTATTTCTATTTTTGGACCATTAGACTAATGGGTCCTCCACCAGAGGTGGTGATGGAAACTCACAAGTCATAATTGGTTGTCCGAGAATGATGAACCGGAAAAGAAATTAGCGGCTCCGATTAGACATTCTTAATGACAAAAGAGAAATTCAGAAAAGATAATCTGCTCTATGTATTGAATACAGGTTCTTGATTAACCAAGAACGAATTTGATCTTCGTGGTGAGAAAATTAAGGATTGCTGACAGATATTAGAGGACGGCGCCATCTATTTGCAGGAAGTCCGCTGTTTCAGAGTACTCTACGTGATTTGTTTTGGGCTTATCCCCAGGTCAAGGTAATGTTTGATGCCTGGCCTGGTACTAGGAACTTGGAACTGGAAGTTGGAAGGCCTCCCAAGCAAAAAACGGTGTGAACTCGTGAAGTTTATACTCGAAACTATTAACAGCTCCAAATTAATTTTCCAGAAGAAGAACAAGAGTTATGACTTTAGAGTCTTTGAGAATTGGAGATTGTTAGTAGTTACAGTCCACTTCGGTGATTTCACACAGTGTAGTAAGGATTATTGAACAATAAAAAAAGCTAATATTCTTATTCGTCAGGGATATTATTTTTTATACTAAAATAATCTATTTTTTAAAAATACAGGGTCACAAAAAAATTGTGCAAAAAATAAAAAGTCACGTCATATTAAAAATCATTAGGTTTCTACATTCTAAAATGGGTCATTGTAAATAACAATATTAAAATTATCTTTAAGTGCCTGATGAGTAAGGAAAGGCACACCTATTCGCTTTTCTAAATAGATAATCAAACGTGATAATTTAATCTCTCATAAAAAAATTTCTAATTTTGTTAATGATCTCAAGAAGGGAGTGATTCTTGCAGAAATTATGTTAGATGAGTAACAGAGCTTTTAAAGAGTCAGAATATATATGAATTATGGTAAGTTTAGCATTACAACAAAGCTTGATTCTTTTCAAGATACCTAAGATTTTGGCAATTATGCTTGGATGATATTCGGGATATTTGGAAAAGCCCTTAATCCAATTCCCTTGATTGTCGTGTATGAGGCCTTTGCAAACACCAGCCCTATTGATATTAGTTGCACTGTTGATGTTGAGTCAGACCTAACCTGCTTTAGGGGTTTCCATCTAGTTTTAAATCTTTCACTTCTCTTCCTCAGGAGATTAGTTATACGTTAGAGTTTGAAGTCATTTAGAATTTGTTGGATGGAGTAGAAAGCAATATTAGTTTCTTTATGATCTTTTTCAGAGAATATTAAGTTGTATTTGTTTTTTCATATGTTTCAAGAGACTTGAGTAAATAATATTTGTTAAGGTGTTCTTCTTGTTTTTGAGTTCCCAACATCATTTTTTGCATTTTAAATTATTCAATTTTGCACAAATAAAGAAAAGAAAGTGTTAATCTTAAAAGGATTAATTATTTTTTAATATTAAAATATTTTATGTGAGTTGAATCTTAGAATAGGATAAGTCTTGTGATTTTAAAATTATTTTTAGAAATACTTTCATATTATCAATTAACGAATTTTTTGCACTAATTATATAGTCGTGTTGTGCTCCGTAAGTGCATGAGCCGTGATAAATAATATAAAATAAGTAAAGTATTATTCTTATAAAGATTTGAATTAAAAATATAGTTAAACAAAAGGTATTGTAAATTTAATTTAGTTGAGCGAATTTAAAACACGATTGATTTTTAAAAGATAAATTAAATGTGTAAAAAAGTATGAAAATATATAAAAGAAATTAATTCAAGACCTTTTAAAAGTAATTAGGTCTAGAATTATTATTTTTTTCATTTATACTTCAAGAACACTCAATCCACCCCTAATATATTTTGCTCTTAATGATGTTACCCACAAGTGTTCTCTCAAATCTCCAAGTAGGTGTTGAGTTTAATTAATCATTTAATATCTTAATTAACTAATTAAACTTCAATTTTTCATGCAAATCCTATGTGATTTTGTGAGGTTAATGAATGTATCCTTATCTTATTAACAAAACTATCCTTTTAACTTACAAATTTTAAATTTTCATACAATTTAACCCAAGTTCTACACTTAACCTAACTCTATTGAGCATTAATCAAGTGAACCTAACAATTTAGTTGATGGCCAATTAATTATAAGCATTAAGTATGGAGTAAAATTAACATAATCACATCGCTAATCGCAAATACAAAGGGAGAATGAGTATTTAATCCATATAAAAGGTTTAAAATAATCTTAAAATTAAGGATTTAGCTACAAATATTTATAAAACCTATGAGAAAATACAAATATATTAGCATGAACATTGAACAAAAAGAAAGGAAGGAGAGCGAGGAAGAAGAATCAAGATATGAAGCCAAAATCTCTTCTAATTTTTAAACCCAAGTTCAACCTCCACCAAAATCCATGCCTTGATGCACTCAAAACTTTAAAATTTTTTCAAGAAGTCCAAAATGTCAGCCAATATTGAGAATGGATCATATACAATCCAAAATCCTAATTTTATTAGACAAATAAAATGCTTAATTTTGCTACTATGACTTTGGAACAACTTTGTTTTGTTCTTTCAGTTAATGAAACTTATCATTTTTTTTACTTGATTTCTCCATTCAAAAGCTTTCAAAAAGCATCAATAAAAGTCCAAAAATGCATCTAATCAAACTTTAAATCAAAATAACAAAAAATTAACTAAAAAGCATTGAATTAAAAATAAATGTACAAAAAATATATATAATTGTGTCAAAATATATTAGAAACTAAAAAAATATGCTCAAATAATATGAAATTTTAGAGATTATCAAGTTGCAATGAGATTCATTATCAAAAGTCTTTTTTGTTTTTTCCCGCCTGCATTATCAAATTTCTTATCTGTACATAGGCCGCAGTCAACATTATTATTATTATTTTCTTGGGTCAAAGTAGCCAACATTATTCATTGATCGACATACATTTAAAAAAAAAACATCAGGTGAGTTAATTATTTGGGAGTAGTATTTGTAAATTAATACTCACTCCGATTCTAAATGCTGGAGATTAAGAGGACAGTGATGAAGAGAGATCAGTAGGAAAATGATAAAAATAAATGCAGAGATGAATAATCTTATAAATGGAATAACTTTACAGTAGTTGACCGTGAATTGAAATAATTTCATGGGAATATTGCATATTGAGAATGCCAAGATATATATGAAGACTATATGGTTTATGAATGTATATAATTCGCCTAATAACTCTCTTTCCCTGTACACAAAAAAATATGAGACATGATATATATATATATATATATATATTCATATATAGATCAGTTGCCGGTGCGGCAGCCTTCAGCAGATTCGCAGCCTCGGTTGTAAGGATTAGCAAGAGGCAAGTTGCATTGTGAGCGCGATCTGGGTCCGCATCCCGTTGCTGTGTCCCGAGTCACCGCCCCATAATTGATGTAATTTCCCTCAGCCCCGCTCATCAGCACTCCCATTATCACCACCACACATATCATCGCTCCCATCATTTCCCTTGACGCCATCCCCTTCTTCTTCCCCTTCTTCTTACAATGATCTCTTCACTCTAATTTCCTGCCTCCAGATTTCCTTCCTTATATAATCATATTCTAACGTAAAACAAGTTCAATCCTGTGGTGTCCGTCCCCATCTCTCCTCCTCCATTCTGACCCGGTCCTCCCTCCTAAACATAACCTTTGGACTTGCATGGCTAAACGGTCTGAGATTTTGAACAAAAAGTTAGGACCTTGATTAGCCAAAGAAGGACTTCTAATTTAATCTTTATTGATGAGAAGATTTACTTTTTCTTAAAATCAAAAGTTACATTACAGAAACTCTCCCGTCTATTTTCAAGCGTCTATTTTAATCCATCTGGCCATAATGGAATTTAAGATAATATTTTACCCATGGCAATCCATATACAATATCTTACAGGGCAATCTTAACCACATGTGACATCCCCTTATGGCATTTGCATGATAAGTGGGGATACACACATTCAAGTTTTAAATGACAAACGAAGGTGGATATATAAGTTGGAGGTATGATGACCAGTGGAGGTCCGCGATGAGTTTAGTTGTTCAATTTGAAGACCATGCACGGAAGGTGGTCATGCAAGAGGCCAAGAAGCGTTAATATTCAGCTCAATTCAACCATAAAAGCCAGTACTGTTGCGTGCCCTCGATCTCTTAGTTTAATTACGGTCCAATTGTTTTTTTAATCTGTTTTAAGGTTTAATGGGCTGATCTTTCAATTTATTTAATTAGAAATCCTAATTAGTCTTCTAGCTTGTCTATAAATTTTGTAATACAATTTTTTTTTAATAAAGTCACGGGACAAAATTGTCTTTTTATTTGACGTTTTAATTAAGTGTCTAATAACTATCAGTTTAATCAAGTACGCTAGTAAGGTTTCAATCAGGGTTTTCTTGACTTAATTTTTAGTTAGGTCTTCAACAGTCTAATATAGGATAGAAGTCTAGTTAATTAAGGGTTCTTTGCTTATTTTAAGAAGGCGTCAATTGTAACCTTTATTTTCAATGGATGAGTGATGTTTGGATTTCTTTTGTGATCGAGTTTATTTTTTTGTGCTTTTGTGTTATTAATCGAATGTATTTTGGTTTTATCGAGACTTATATACTTTAAATATATATAGTTAAATTAAAGTTGTAAAACATCAGTTTTCTTGCAATCCAAATTTGTTTATCATGATCATCTCAACTCGTGGATGCCACTTCCAGCACCTCAAAAGTCGTTTCAGGATTAACTTTCATATTATTAAAAAGTTGTTTGGCTTTCAAATGCTATTTTTCAAAAGTCCATTGAACAATAAAAAAAAAAAGCAGGATTCCAATTTTTCAAAAGCTAGTGAAGGTTGG